GGATCAGAATGTCTCAGGAGAGGACCCATCTTCTCCTTTCAACACCCAAGTTTCTCTGCTTCAACCACCTGGCAAGGCATTGGCCTGGGAAAGCAAGCACCAGCAGTGAGCTCAGGAACCCATCTACCCAGGCACGGAAACTAGGGCATGTCTGGAGACTTCTAAAGACCAGCGGGAATGAACAGTGCTGGGACAACTGGTTACAGTTACAGAAAAACAACACGAGGTCCCTACTAAATACCATTAGAAAAAAAATTTCAAATTGATTTAAAGATTTAACTATGAGAATGCAAATTTAAGCTTTTAACAAACCTCAAGAGTAGGGAAAGAAGATTCAAAGGCACAAGCCAAAAAGGCAAAAGACTGATAAATTTAACAACATCAACATCTTAAAATCACCTTGGCGTAGCAAAAGACTCTTTAAGGAGGGGAGGGAGGGAAGCCACAACCCACCAGATATTTGCAATGCCTATAATCAACCAAAGAGTCTCATTTCTCCAAAATGTTTTTCCTTTTCTAAAATTTATTTATTTATTTTTGAGAAAGAGTCTCCCTCTATCACCCTGGGTAGTGCCCATGGTGTCACAGCTCACAGCAACCTCAAACTCTTGGGCTCAAGCAATCCTCTTGCCTCAGCCTCCCAAGTAGCTGGGACTACAGGTGCCTGCCACCACACCTGGCTATTTTTAGAAACACAGGGCCTCGCTCTGGCTCAGGCTGGTCTCGCACCTGTGAACACAGGCAATCCACCTGCTTCAACCTCCCAGAGTGCTAGGATTAGAGGAAAGAGTCACCGGCACCCGCCTCCCCCCCCACAGCTTTCCTAACATGCATACACACGAAAGTGTCAGAATGTAGTATTTTTAAAAATTATTAAATATGTACAATATTTCTATAAATTTAAAGAGTCTAATTTCTATAAAGTTAAAAGACTATGTCAACACACAAAACGAAACTAACCCCGATGATTAGGATACAAATTGACTTCAGAACCTGGGATGAGGCAACAGCATTGGGGTATTAGGGATAAGACTCCAGACCTGGTTTTATGACTGAAGAGAAATCTAGAGCAAATGTGGAAAGATAGTAAGATGAGTCAATGAGTTACATGGGGGGGACAGAGGCGTCTGCACACCGGTTCTATCTCAGCATTTCAAATGATGTGATGTTTTTAAAAAATCCTCTCAGTTTTCTTCTGTGCCACTTGTGTTCTGGGTTTCTGAGTCTCCCAGCTCCTTGGAAACCTCCGGGTCTGTTTTCTCCCC